CGATTGCGCTCAAACGCCTTTTCTATTTCGCCCTCGGACAATTTGTCAATATCCCGACATCAGAAAGCGATACATTAAGAATCGGACGCTGTACGGACACCAAAGAGGTTACCCCGTAACTAGGGGCTAGGGGCTCCAAAGGAACGGTCCGCGATGGCCTATGAAAATGCAGTGTTGTACGGGGGTCTGCGGTAGATAAAGTTGTGCCAGTTTTGCGGCGGAAAGTTGTAAGGTAAAGGAGTTATGACGCAAAGTTGCCTCAGTGACACCTCCCTTTTCCAGTGACTCCGCCTCCAGACTCCGCCTTCAAAGCCCGCCTTCCAGCCAAAAGCGATGCTACCGCACAAGTAGCATGAAAGGGAGATGCTCCATAGTCTCTTGCGGAGTCATAGGGCCTATTGGGAAGAAGAACCGAATGGATGCGACACAACACGCGATCTTTTGGTCTTTCACCCGTACAATTGTCTGCGACTGGAGTGTTCTTGGTTAGGGGCGCTTCCGAAGTTCCCTTTGACATTTTCACTTTACAGACGAGCAAGCTGTTTTCCTTATTTCAACCCCATTAAATGAGCTCCTCATCGCTAGACTCCTTGCTCTTTAAGCTGCCAATTAAGTGGCCATGCATAAATCGACAGATGCCGTAGAGAGCTGGATAAGCGCCACCACAAAGAATCTTGCTGCCTTTTAGCAGGCGCTGATTACGTACCCTCTTCCCCAACCAGGGAGCCATCGTCTAGCATAAAACCAAGCGCCTGCAACATGTTGCCCACAAGCCCACCGCAACTGCCCGCCCACAAATGGTTGGACAGTCACATCGACTTTGGTACCCTTATTGCTTCATTTATGAAGTCCAATTGATATGAAGCGTGGGTATGTGGCAACAGAGTCGTAATTCTCTGCGCCCATTTTGTTATTGCTTTCGTTCGCTCTCGGTCGCGATGAGTCCGCGTGCGCTGTAAATGACGACGATTTATATGGGTAGTTGGCGCTCGAGAATAGAACAAGTATGACCAAAATAAGCATAAGTGTTCGTGACTCGTGTCCTTGTCTACAGGAAATCATGTTTCCAAGTCGAAAGAGTTAGTGCAAATCGGAAGAAATCGCCAAGGCACACGTTGTTGGGAGTCCCCAATATGAGGTGGGTTGTCGTCAGGGTCGTATTTGTGTCGCCGGAGAGGGGGCGTCCGATATGTTGGGCCGTTGGAAAGATTTTATTTTTTGATAATTGATTTCGGGACGGCGTAAAGGATGGGGCGGGTCGTACTTTGGTGTTTCTATTTGTTCTGGGAGGGCTGGGGTGTTTTTGATTTCTTTATTTACGTTTTGGTGTCGTAGGAGTGGTGGTTGACTTTTTGTGATTTTCCTATTTCATGTGTAGTATATACCCCCCCCCTCGCTCGACGGCTCGATTCGATGAGGAGGGACAGAGGGGCCGGAGAGGGGGGGAGGGGTCGTACCAACCCCCAAAAAAGGGGGGTCGTACAGACTCGACCAAAATCCTCAACCAATGAATATGTGCCCTGATCGCACCTATTGCGGCGCGCAACGAAGCGGCAATTTACGGTTCTCTTGCCCATCTCCCATGAAGCCTTGCTACATGGATACATGAATACATACGTGCAGCCATATCTATCAAAGCGATTGTTGGCGCAATGCCAACGAGAAACTCGTCCAAAAGTGCTCGTAAAATGTCATGCGAAAGGAAGGTTTTTCCGCAAGTTTTTGGCTTCGCTTTTTCGTCATCTTCCCTACTATACAGCACCCCTGCTACTACTTTTGAGCAAACACCAAATTCTCGTGCCTTATGCCTCTAGCATAGCGGAAGACGCAAATCGTCCAGATGTAGCATTTAAGGTTCTAGTTTCCTCTTTCTCGTTACCATCTGTCTCACGTTAGACATGCTGCGGTGCTGATGGCATTGAGATTTCATGCGGTCGCGCGGTCACCTAATTGTAGGGTTACTGTTATGACCGCGTCTCCTTTACTAATGGTAGACATACATCGGTCAGTGAAATGAACGAAAACGGAGAGGTAGGGGAAAGTGCGAACGCGTGCTGCGCCCACCAGTTGCTCACCTATTGGCCCCGAAAAGATTTTATCTATAGTTCAATGAAAGTCGTTAAAGTGATTTACTGGTATAAGTGACTCCTGCATCATTTGTGCGATGAAACCACAACGAGTGTAAATAACGGAGGGTTCTAGCTCGCCCTTTCTGCTTTTTCCTGCTCAGCCCGAGGATGCTGGTCCTAGAAGAGCCAGCCACTGAAGGCAAACACGTAAACAATAAAATTCGATCAGGCCGAAATCTGACCCTCCCCCCCCCTTACCTTGACGAATGCTTCAACGATGATTACCTAAGCAAATAAGCGCTCACTGGATAAGATGGGGATGGTGGGCATGAGCTCACAGGCAGGGCATGAGCTCGTACTTGCGAATCAGCAGTGAGGGGGGCGTATTTGGTCGCTGGAGGGAGGGGAGGGTTGAGGAATTTCTGATTTAAGAGCCTATTCTGCGAGAAGGTTTCTTGATGGCAGGACGAATCCTGCTCTGAAGTCCTACCTTCAAGTTGGAATGATTTCGTTGAGTCTCCAAGCTCTCGGAATGATCAACAACCTGGTAATTACAAGTTGGTTCCGGGCTTTAAATCTGTCGGATGCAGTGGCACAT